GACTTTTCTTGTGGTTGAGCTCGAAGTGAGTTCTTTAAGGAGCTGGCTTTTATGATTTAGTTCAATCTCATCCACCTGCCTCGAATCCAACCTACCATGGAGCGTTAATTTTTGCAAATTCCACCCCGATCCGGTTCTATCCATCATTGCATAAATATTGATCAGAAAAATTCAGTCCATCATAACTCAGCGCAGTTTAGCGTACGAAGCAGACTTACTATGTATGAGCACATTTACTGCACCACAACCAGGGGCTCAACTCAACCGTTTCAGTCTGCTTGGGCTTGGGAGTTTCATATTTCAATCCAATCTAATAATCCATGAATTTTGAATAAGTGCGATTCAGTTATCAAAACCACACCTTTCTACAACCCATGAATGACTCGAACTCAGCGTACCCAAGTCGTGCTGGTTCCACGCTATTGTTGTAAGGACTTCGGTCGAATGTGCTCGTGAGATTTAACAGCAATAACGGCTGTAATGCTGGGGCGGTCTTGCTGATTTGGGCTTGCCAAACGTCATTCTGGTTCGTTACAGCTATCACCAGTCACAGTTAGCGTAGATGTGAAGATAGAACAAAGAAGTGTTTAACCAATGCCGGAACACTTAGTCCAACTTACACCGACATTGCGGTGTCTCACACAAATCAACAAATAAAACACGACCCAGGGCGCCTACAACTTTGGCCCGTTTCCTGCTCGCTTGATAGCCGGTTGATGTCATCTCGTCGGCTCCCCCGCTGCGGGCAGCGCACCGGACTAGACACGCAAAGCGCCTTCTCACCAACAGCCGCCAACTAAGTGGCGCCCGGCGAAACTTCCGTGATTGACGGCGAGGGAAAGTGGAAGATTCCAATCGCTACGCCTTCCCAAACCCCTTCGCATCCACCCCGACACGTGACACCCCTCGCGGGTGCCTCCCCGCTGGGCGGTTCTCCGCGGTCGAACCGCGCGCTCATCGAACGCCGCATCGCTGTCAGCCGAGCCGCAGGGCGGGCCCCAATCAGAACGGACAGCAGCCTGCGAGCGCGAGCATAAAGACGCCGGCAAAAACACGCTTGCCGTGCGATTGGTCGCATGCGGCGGTTTTACCGCCGGCCGAGCGGGCCCTGCGGCTTTGGAGCTGTCGGCCGACGCTACAGGCGTTGATTAATGTCTACGCTCGTCGGTGGGGTTTTGCGCCGGTGGTGGTCTTTGCTGGAATCGTATTGGTGGACTCGCGGGGAGCCGCAGGAAGCGTGGGATCTGATCGCGGACAGCTGTCAGCTGCTGTTGGATGGTGACGGCGCTGCTGATTGGTGTGCACTTTGGTTGGCTGATTGGTGTACACAAGACATTGCTAGGGTGAGAAAGAACACTCGTGTTTATGTGAAAACAATATGTTAAACTTTGAGGAAGCATCCTTGAAACCTAGAACGTTATTTGAGATTTTTGAAAAACACCGGATGGCGGCAACAAACAAAATATGTGGCAACCCTGATATTCTTTCCCTGTAACCACAATGCAAAACAGCCATTCGAGCAGACCAACTTCGGTACGGTCTGGCACAACTGCTCGCTGTCGTGTATTCAGATACAGCACCATGTATGTATGATATTACTGTATTTGAAAGGTGGTGGAGCATACTGATGCTGCTCGCGCTTACGGGTACGGAGCGTTTTAATACAAGAGTGCTGTATGCCAAACACACGAAGCATCTTTCCCCGGGCAAATATCCTCCACACAAATCCCTGCGCAAGCTCCACCAGACCATCGCCGAAGAGACGGCCTCAGAAGTCTGCCAGACTTCTGTGATATGAATTGAGCTGCTTACTGCATAATGCTGATATTCTCAGTACCTAATTTTGCAACAACGTGATGCCCATGAGCAAGGTTAAACGCACTAAACGTGGTTGTTTTTTATTTTTTAGCCAGCCTTTTGTTGTTCTTTTCAAACACACTGTTAAGTCGTTCTCTAAACCATTTTTGATATGGTCACGCAAGTTGGTTTAACTTACCTCTCTTCAACTCATGCATCATTTCTAACCCGTACCGCAGCTCGGCGTAATGTTTGCGCTGGTGTCAGTGGCAGTAGTAACCAGCTGCGCGCCACAGTGACTAGATATCCGTCACGAAATACCGACGATGGACAGCCCAGTGGTGTAGCCGCTCGGAGCGACGAGCTTCCTCGCTGTTTCCACCCGACGATCTGCCCCTGTAAGCTTTCATTGACCTCATCAACGATGGCAGCTGGGCTGGACTGCTTGCCGCGACAGTGCTCAAGGTGACGTGGGTGGTGCAGCTCTGACGCGTCTCCATTCCTGATCGGCCGGCTTGTCATCAGGAGGCCATGCGTGCCACTTTGTGCTTTATTTACAGACACACGTGTACCAAAGTATCAAAGGGATAATCAACACTTGGCAACCAACGCTACCCACGCTACGTCACTGCATGTACACTGTACACTACAGATATGAAAGACAGACGGTTAAATGCATGCCAGTAGACAAGAACAAGACCCTTGACTAGACTAGTCTACAACACCCGGCTTCGAGGAGTGTTGCCATAAAGCCCTTTAAAGAAACGTCGAAACTCTTCAGACGGTTTGAACATCAAAGAGCTATATTCACGACGCAACACGAAAGCACATGTTGAAAGTCACATTAAATTACTATTTCCATCCCAGCGGCGAAATATGAGTCTTGTATTTCTTGATACACACTAGCTGTGTCAATGCCACGAACATGGGTGCACCATCATTTCCAGGGGGCGCAAAAATACGGGATTTGAAGCTGAGTAAGTGTATGTACACCGGTGTGCGTTCACAAGTGCTCGAGGGCATGGGGATAGGTACACGTTTGCAGACAATGTTCTGCATGAAGCGCTTCCTCGTAGACTTCCCGTCGCCATTGACATGGATGAGGGCGACCAAAGAGAGAAGTCTTCATTCTGGCCTAGCTCCCCATGGCACACCTACATCAAGGTACAAGGAATCTGGTGAAATCTCGCAGGTGTCTGCCAAACTATCCAGACATCAACCGACTTTTACGATCGCAAGTCACACCCCCTAGGCTTTCGTTTCGCGTGACATACCTGAAAGACCACGGTGTGATATAAATAGACAGAGGATTATATATGTACGATGAAACCACATCACTCAAGTGCATGCTGCATAGCGCTACGTGACCTTTTGTGCTTATCCTGCGCGTATACCGTCCACGGTGAATGACACCCGAATGATGATTTGAACTTACTTGTTTAGGCCGCTGTGCCACACAGCGGGCATTAGTTTGCAGAACGCCAAACAAGAAAGTGCAAGTTCATTACCGTGCATTCACAAAGACTTGATGCTCGGTTGATCTACATGGTTACGATCGATCTGTAGTGAATTCCAGGCTTTCAGTGACTAGAACAAATCGACAGCCGCCACGAAACGACGATGCCGCGATCTGTGAAAGACGTGTAAATGGGTTCACCCATCACTAAGACATCGATCTGTCGCTGGCTAGAATACACTGGTGCGGAACTCGACTCCTTCATCGCGACCGTCCCACGAACCACTCCAGGGGCTCGACAAGCCCCACCACTTCAGTTCTGTACAGATCTCTTCGGCCAGACAGGCCGGGCAGCTGCACGTGCCGCAGTCGGGGACCTTTGTAGCATCATCACCATTTGGAGCCGGCTGGTTCAGCCCCTGAAGGCGCGGCGCAGCGCCGAGATGCTGAAGACCAGGACACAGCCGATGACGCCGGTCAGCATGGGGTACGCCCAGCTGACCGCCCGTCCGTCTCCGCCGTCACGGTGTCCGCCCTGAAAGGAGGTCGGTGGTGACAAGCGGCTCCGGATCGCCCAGCGCGTCTCCAACACCGTCATTGTACCGCCGTGCCAGCCAGTAGAAGACGTCGTGTTCTGCTTCCCCTTTCAAGCGAATCTGTGCTCTGGCAAGCAGATATCCCCTGGCACGCATCTGGCATGGAGCCTGATGTTTGGGACTGCGTAGCAACCAATCGCAGCGCTTGGCGCACAAGACATTCTGCTGAACTGTGGTGCCGTTCTCTCCCCAGTCAGTCAGTATGCCGGAGCACCATTTACCCGGAACTGCATGACATGACTCGCGACAAAAACCTCGAGGGCAAATAGGAAAACCACAAACAGCATTCCATGGCGGAAGCTCGGTGATTCGCGTTCCGGGAATAGGCAGAGTAGTTGGTTTTTACCCTCGCGACCTCGAGTCAGAACCCGCGCCGTCGTCGGCCGAGGCGGGTGAGGCAAGTGGGTCCGATGACGACATTGGCCCCCTGTCGCCAGTTCAGTGGCGCGCAAAAAGTGTCGCGCCGCGACGACCTGACTTTGCAAGCCCTGGCACCGATTTTCACTTCTCGGGGAGCCCTGACGCGGTGTGAATTTGGGTCACGTATGTTCGACGGTTTATGAGAAGTGTTGGGGAGGATCGACGGGCAAGAACCGGGTGGGTACACATGTGACCCACAGAGAGCAAAGTGCCCTCTATCCATCGTACAAGTAGGCGCCATATATACGACGGTGTTGGCGACAAGTGTTTCGTGACACCATCAATATAAATCAACACCGGCTACGCAATGACTTCCGAACTGCACAATGCTGGTTGTGTCATTTGCAGATCACCTTTACGCCAAAATGATGTTCACTGGGAAATAAAACGTCAAACTAAAATGATGTTCACCGGGAAATAAAATCGTCAAACCAAAACGAGTTCCAAGAGAACAGCACGATGAACACTGCTCTGGAACGTCGGGTGCTCTCAAAATAACTGTTTAATAAAACGGCTTTACTAGCACCATCTGGTACAATGAAGCTTGGTTATCGTAAGACCTCCTGGCACAATGAACCTCGGTCACGATAAGACCTCCTGGTACACTGAAGCTCGGTCATCATAAGACCTCCTGACGTCACTGACCACGAGTCTGCTGAGCTGGAGGTGGTCGGCGATGCGGCGCAGGTCCCGTCCCACCTGCCGCAGCGTGTCCGTCACGGAGATCTTCCTCAGGCGCGCTGCGAACGCCGCTGGTCCCGCCGGCGCGCTGACCCGCCGGCTCGGCCCCGCCGCCGGAGGGTGCCGCGGGGTCACCGGAAACGGCGGCGGCCGGGTCACGCGACCCTCCTTCCGGGTCAGCTGCCTCACGCGCTGGATGTGCGCCAGGCGACGCTGCAGCGCGGTGGAGAGATCAGCAGCGGCTGGCGCGGCCGGTCCCGGCGGCGGGCTGGGGCCCCGCTCCTCGGCGGTCATCTGCAGCAGGTCAGGCAGCCGAGCCGGTACAGACATCTTCTTCATGCGAGGTGACCTTGCCAGGTCTTCCGCGGCTAACGGGGTCCCTACGAGGCAGACGGCGGAAGGAAAATGACGTAGGTTTTGGTCAGCGTTTGACACACGGCTACAGGACGAGAACTAGATTTGTGAACTTCATTATCAGCGGTCAAAGTTGACGGTGATTGAAGAATCCAGCAGCCACCAATGATGCAGTACTTGGACGCGTCTTTGCGACAACTGGGATGAATGTGATCCAATCATCTAGCTGAATGCACCTCACATGACTAGATGGATGCGGCCTGTTTGCAGCGACCATAGTGCGTTCAATCGCATTTACTAGTACACTTGACGTTTCGTCCTGCATTAAGAATATACCACATACAACTGCTGAAAGAATTGGAGCACTTCACCTTTAAACCGGATGGGAATACATTAGTTATTGCACGGAAATAATCTACCTAATCTACAACTGGGCGGTTTTGCAGCTGCGTTGCGTTTTGCGTTGACGGTCGAACGTGCGGGACGTAGCATCAATGGTCATCATGAAGCGTTGATCCGAACTTATGAAACTGAGAGAAATCACCCAGCGGCCAATGATGAGAGAAGAATCTAAATGAATGTCACGACCGCCTGGCTGATATGCTGGTGCTACAGGTGCATGAAATTGGGCAAGTCTGCAGTCAAGGGCGCAATAAGCTTCATGTATTCGAGAAAAGGAAGAAATCTACTTTTTAAATTTTCAGTTTCCCCAAACCAAACATTATAATATACCGTATGCCTTTTCAACGTCTATAGGAGCCAGGATCTCATAAGTTCCCCACGGATCCCCGGTGTTTTCACCATACCACTTCCGAGAGTGACCATTGTGATCTATTGCTTAGCTCATTTAACTGGATCCCATACAGCAACATTTTATTTTATATCCACATGGTTCCTCGACCAACTATGATATACTATTTTGATTTATTCATCATAAATAAAGCCAAAGGTGTTGAGTGAGATGAGGAAAAGGAGCTGGCCCATGAACCTCGTTGGCATTTTCCATTTCCACAAGCAAGCACTCCACCGTCCCCACTCACCTGCATCCCGGGAGTCGCGTCTGCCGGAGGTGACCCGGACGTGGCCGAACACCCTGCTGACGACGCGGTCCCACCGCAGCAGCTGGTGCACGAACGGCTGGCAACGAGCCTCGCGGTCCACCTCGGCCGGCACGGGCACCGCTGCCGCCACCAGCACGTGGCGCAGGGACATCGTCCACGTGGCGTCCGCCACCTGCCGCCGCCCGCCACCGACTGACGCCGGCGCGGCCCGGGCTGGGCGGGCGGCTTTAGCGGCGTCGAGGGAGAGCCGGGAGGCGGCGCGCGGCGTCACCCGCCGCCGACGCCGACGCGTGGCGCCGCCCGGGCCACCGACGCCGCCGGGTGACGGGTGGGAGCCGAGCTGTCACACCGCTGGGTGACAGGTGTGATCCGAGCCGCCACACCACCGGGTGACAGGTGCGAACTGGGTCGTCACCGCCGGGTGACAGGTGTGAGCTGGGCCGTTACACTGCCGGGTGACAGGTGTGAGCTGGAGCCGTCACACCGCTGGATGACAGATTTGACCCGAGCTGTCACACCGCCGGGTGACAGGGGTGAACCAGGCCGTCACATCGTCGGGGGAATGTGTGAGCTGGGCTGTAACACTGTCGGGTGACAGGTGTGAACCGGGCCGTCACACCGTCGCCACCGCCGGGACAGCGTGGCAGCGCGGCAGGCGCCGGTCATGTTTGTGGTCAGGTGCTGGTTCGCGTGCTGTTGCTGATAGATGATAGGCTGGTGCGTGAGCCGGGCCTGCTGTCAGTCAGCCAATGGCTGTATTGTACAAGTCAATCGCTTGCGTTATGAAGACCTGATGTGACTTTGCATTCGTCGGTCTGAAGGAGGCGTTATTTACAACGACTTTTGGAAACTCAATTTCGTCAAGTTTTGATAATCAGCAGCGACTGTCCAGTATGAAGACGTATTTAAATACTCTTCAGTCCGTACTGTGTGTGTAAGGGTAAGTAAATGCCAATCGTCCATGCGTGCCCTCTTGTATTGACAACGGTGGCTTCGTTGATGTGCAAGACCCATCAAATTAACTCTGGGAGTAATGGGAATATTTCGCATGTGAAGGCATTAAAGCAATCATCAGACATGATACAGTTCTAACAACAATCATAACAACACCAATCATGTTTATAATAATTTGTGTGTTTTAAGTGGAAAAGACTGTTTTAGACGACACAATTTCCAAATTTATATAACATAATTTGTATAATACATCAATGTTTGTTTGCGTCATGGAGCGTTTGTACTATCAATAATCTTACATGGTGTTGCCAATCTAACCGTGCGAGATTGCCACCCCAGCACTCGCACGCATTACTTCGCCGACAACCATATATAACTCGCCGAGAGGCAACAGTGGCGGTCTGAGAGTGCTCACTGAACCTAATATCGTTGCATGTTTGCGTTTTGGCAATTTCTCTTGAGGTTTTTTGCATATTCACCTACGAGTTTAAGATGTTTTCTTCCCTTGACATGCTTCAGTTATAGCGCTATTCTTAAGGAATTGCGATTACAAGTCTCATTCCTGTAATAACCAGCAACCATGTCCAGCTTCCTTTATTATGTAGCACAAACGTGATTCGCGACTCGAAAGTTGCGCAGGCTGCTTAACATCGATTTGGGAAGCCAAATGACGTCGGGTACCTTGGAAGCCGTGCTCACGGACGCCAGATTTGAGCGTCTCGACGGTGATATTCTGCTCGTCCTCGAACGCCTGTCGGGTGGCAGGATTTGAATGGGGCTGCTATGGCGCCATGCATGCCTGAATGGCCCTGAAATAGTCCGTACGAATAGAAATAGAAAAAAAGAAATACATCTTCGCGCGTGTGTAGCCCAGAAACTAGAGGGCTTTAGATCCAAGAAGGCCGTGGCTCTGAAGTGCACCGAATGATCTTCAAACTGTCTACGTTAGTTAGCAAAGCATGCATACGTGGGTCACTCGCTTTAAGCCTCTCCACGAAGTGATAGCTCCGCACAAGGGTGGGGAGCGGTCAACAGCCGCAGCGCTCGCGCAGGGACCGTGTTGTCGATGTCGTCGATGTCGATGTTGTCGATGTCGATGTTGCGGGGCTTGCCGCCGGCGGTGCAGCCGCGGCAAATACGAGCCGTCTGTCCTCATGACCACAGCAATACCGAGAATCGTAAAATGGCCAAAAATAAGTGCGATGACGACTGCTGACATTTTGCAGGAGGCAGCTCGAGGCTTTTGCAGCTATTCTGGTGCTCATGCTGCGACGATCTATGTATCGTTTCAACGCCTTTTGTGCATGTCTATGATAACATGGCACGGGCCGAGTTAAGTATCATTAACAACGAATTCATGTGTTTTATTCTGGTAACCTATTTCGTCTCGAGATAATCGGACCTGACGTGGCATGCAAGCGCCTTGCTACGCCCACCAGTGGCCATTTTAAGCTTTCGTTCTGGTAAACCTGGGATCGCTGAGTGGGTTTGCAGCTTTGACCAGCTACCTGTGCGCCGGGTAAGCACAGTAGGCTGAGAGGCCTCCACCATCGGTAAAACTTATCCCCAAGCACATGTTCCGCGCCTAGCAATGATAAGAAATTCACTTCAGTTGAGAAGTTTAATTCAGAAGTTCAGCGCATACATGGAACGTAAGTGAAAATGCTCAGATGTTCATCTTTACTTTGGTGTTGAAATACATTTTCTAATACGACATGCCAGATGATCCACTAAGCTTAGAGCATTTCAAAACACATTCACCCTACCTTTCCCATTGTCATTGTGCCATTGACAGCATTTGTAAACCGTGCGGATGTCTAGGAGAGCTCACACTCTTGTGGACAGTTTCAGCGCTCAAGCGACAGAATTAGTTCGGTAGATTTTGAGGTCTCTAGGTCAGACTGATGCCAGCCACCAGGTAATCGAAGCGAAAATCTCTGCACAAAACAGGGTTGAATCAGTTATGACGTTTGAAAGGAAACGTCTCTAGTAAATCTGCCGCTATTTTCAATTCATTTTTCCTTCGAATCGGCGAAGGAAGGAACGCTTATGCCACGAGCAGCGGGTTATCTGCCCTCAGCTTTTGACTGATGATGTTCGAGACACTTGTATTGCATGTTCGCAAACTGCCGCAACCTACTAAGCTTGCCACAAGGCGGTGCCATGGACGCAGAATCAGGTCACCGTCGCGGCAGAAACGTCTCGCCCATCATTATTCATATCGAGCATCGTGCGCACCAGCGCCCCAGAATAGGCGGAAATCAATATCTGGGTCACGATCGTGGGGCGCGTGCAAAACAGGTCCGACTCCGACACTTCTTCTGCTTCTTCTTGCGCCAGCGCCGGAGGCGGCGGCCCGACCTTGGGAATTTTTTTGGAGGCAGTGTTTCACCCCGGCGACACTCCGCGCATTTGGCAACGACAAGCTCTATTGGGCCCATTTGCTTGCACAGGTGGAGCTCGCACGCCGCTATTCACTCGGATTTGGGCTTCGGTGTCGAATGATTGCGTGTTTACTGCGGGTTAGCGTTGTGTGCTGGTGGGATTCCGAACGTCATTGTGTGTCACTGTGAATCGAGTGTGATGATGCAGCGAACGATGACAGCCTTTGGTTCTTACCTTTATGTTCCTTACAAATACGCTGCGATGGCTGGAAGCCAGCAGGCTGCCCGCGGTGGATTGCCTGTGGCGTAGAATATTGAACAAGTGGTCATTCCATACCAGCTCCCCAAGTAGTCTCCAAAATCATTGTATGATACAAATCAGTATAAATATCGTTTGTGTTTGCAGTAGCTGCAATTTTTAGCTTAAATCGCTGAGAAACTACAGGAAACCACGGAACTTGGAAATATCATTCTTAAATAATGGTACACAGTTATGTTCTTATTTCATTCAACTTTGCATTCAGGCACTGGCAAGCGGTATGTGTTCACTCTTGAAATGAGGCCCATGTTTATAACACAAACATGGCGCTGACAAATCTAATCGTCTGCTTTTGTCATGGTTCACTCATTGTTAGCAGTGGTGGGTACGTCATGTTAATGTAAAGGTGACGTTCATTGAATCCGTGCCCAACACAGGTGAAAGCGCCGTGCAGCCGTTACATCAAACTCTCCGGCCGTTTTATGTGGGATGTTGTACATATATGTATTGACTTCCGTAACCACTGATATATGCCATTGCACGACGACAGGCTCATGCATCCACAAAAAACCTTCCGTTCACGTTAAAAGCCTTCGAATGACCAACAAACTCCCTTATCGATATGGGGACCCTTTCGGGCATCGGTGGATCATCAAGTGACCTGCAGAGCCCCCAGACACCGGCCAGATCTGACAACCCAGGTCTTCTCTGGGGGTTGGCTGGCTTCCCAGGCAACCGACAGGCGAGGCTACTTCAGACCGAGGACGACGACGAAGAGGACGCAGTCCTCCAGACCCGTCCGACGCCAGGCGATCCGTCGGGTTCCTCTCTGGACCTCCCCGGATCCTCTCCGGGCCTCTCGAGATTCCCTCAGGACCTCTGCGGACCTCCCGGGACCCCTCAGCACCGCTCAGTACCTCTCAACCCGTCAGGCGACGCGCAGCTGTCCCCGGAGCACAATGACAGCCTCTCCGGCGACACGGGTCCGCCCCGCCGCCCAGTCGACGGCCACAGCGAGCTGGCCGCCGCGGGGCGAGCACTGACGGGCCGAGAGCCTCTCGACGCCCAGCTGGCGCGCCCAGTACGGCCCCAGCACGGTGTGCGCCGAGCCGGTGACGGGGTCCTCCGGGATGCCCACCCAGGGCGCGAAGTAGCGGCTCTGGCAGTGGAACTGGCCGCCGCCGCGCACCGTGACGATCACGCCGCGCACCTCGCCGCCGTCGTGCAGGCGCGTCAGCTGGCCCACGTCCGGCTGAGGGGCGCGGCACGCGGTCTCAGGGGGCGGCGCTGCGCGAGAGGCGGCGGAGGGACCGCCGGCTGGCTGACGCCTGCGTGATGACGGCGGCGCCTGCCGTCCGGGGGCACAAGATAGGCTATGGCCGTCTGCCCTTCGGTGGTCTCGGCTGTGATGCGTGTGAGGGATGTGACGCGGAAGACCTCGGCAGTTGCGCCGGTGATGAAGCGTGATGAAGGTCAGCTTCGGGTGGCTCAGACTTATACCGGATAAGACGGGTCAGGCTGGAGACAACCGAGACGTCAGGTCATGAGAACACGAAAACGAAGACGGGTCGGCTGG